TATAAAAAAACAATGTCAGCAGTAGGTATATAACAAGGATAGACAGAAAAATGAGCTGTAACCCAAATGGAATAAGCTATCTTATCAAGTTAAGCATAAATATTTAACTGGTAGAATCAGATCTCAGTTCTTAACTACCTCTTTGAGGTGTCTGGCTCTTAAACAATTGAATAAACATTTACCAGTGTCTTTATGACAAATAATCTACTCCCTCTTAAAACTCTTCACCACAGTTATCCCTTCTCCTTTAGCCAAATATACTCAAGATCCACTTACAGTCTATTATTTTCCCTCTAAAATTTCCTTTTAAAATTTCATTGTTCCAGTCACAGCTATGATATGACTCTTAAATCTTTATCCCAAGCCTTGACTGCTCTCCAAAACCCTAACCCTACATTTTCAGATCTTTGTGGGCATCTCCACATATACATCCCATACTGCATAGTTTAAAGTCAGGAAAGGTATGCACTAGGTATATATCCTTTCACTACACCTATCCAATACGTATGTAGAACAAATAATTCAAGAAGCTGGACTATATGAAAAAGAATGTGGCATCGAGATTGGAGAATTCTCAATAGGCTGTGTTATGCTGATGAGAATCTTTCTTGCTTAAAGTGAAGGAGACCTGAAGCATTTATTGAAGATCTAAAACTACAGCCTTCAGTATGGATTATACACATATACACACACACAAACCAAAAATCCTCACAACTGGACCATGAGGCAACATCATGATGATGTTTTTGTTAATTGTCATCGAGTAGAGCATGACTCATAGTGACCCTATGAACAAAAGGCCTGATATCTTTCTATAACTATCGTCATTTATTAAAGTTCATAGAGTTTCCAGAAACATGTTCTTTAGGAAGTGGATGCCATTCCTGCTTCTAATATCATGATAGATGGAGAAAAAAAATTATATTGTCAAGAATTTCATTTCACAATCAACACCAGCAGTCAAGATGTTGAAAAGCATACAGCACTGGGCAAATCTACCTCTGTCAAGGACCTCATTAAAGTGCTAAAGAAGGATATCAGTTTAAAGACTAAGGTGTGCCTGACCCAAGCTATGTTGTTATCAATTACTTTATATACTTGTGAATGTGAGATAAAGGATAAAGAAACCCAAATAGTGGATGCCTTTGAATTATGGTAATGGCAAAGAGTATGGAATATACCATTGACTATCAATAGAGTAAACAAATTTGTCTTGGGAAGAGTGCAGCCAGGGTCTCCTTACAGAGTAGAGAGTTCATGTTCAGAAATGTGGAGGTTCAGAGGAGGAAGAAGCCCCTCAACAAGATGGACATGCAGTAACCCAACAATGGGTGTAAGTAGAGAGGAAACTGAGGATGGCGCAGGTGAAAAAAGGTTTCATAACAATGTATGTTATATACAATGTATGTGTTGTACATATGGTCGCTATGAATCAAGAGCTCACTCTATGGCACCTAGTACAGAAACAATATAGGAAACTCAATTCTGTTCATCTTAAATTGAACTCATCTATTCCCTCAAATTTATGCCTTCACTGTCCTTGCTTGTCACTTGACACACACCTAGAAGGCTGACATTTTTGAAAGCTACTTTTTCTTTGCCACATACCAAGTCTGTTGTTAAATCCTGGTAATTCTGTTTCAACAACTGCTATCTGGAAACTCTATGAACTCTGATAAATGATGATGTTATAGAAAGGCTTCAGGCCTATTATTCATAGGGTCGCTGAGTCATGCTCGACTCAACAGCAATCAACACCACAACCACCACAAATTTTTAATCTCTACCCTTACAATCCTGAATCTAGATCTTTTTACCCTGAGCTAAACTGCAACAGAGGAGTCTCTGAGTGACAGTTAAGTGCCAGACAACTAACCAAAAGGGAGTTCAATTCCAGCCAAGAGGTGCCTAGGGAAACAAGAAAAAACTCTGGATATTAAAGGACATAGCCTTGAAAACTCCTATGGAGTGAGCAGGCTACTCTGCACACGGGGTCCCTAGGAGTCTGAATCAACTGGATAACAATAAGGCTACAACTTAATTTGGAAGTTCTGGCTTTGTATACAGTGTTGTTGCTGTATATCATCGAGTCAGAACCGACTCATAGCTGACCCTCCAGCAGGTTTGCAGAGGCTGTAAAATGCATAGGACTTAATTTCCCGTCTTTGTCCTACACTGCAGCTGGCAGATTGGAACCACATGCCTTTGGGTTGACAGCACAATTCCTTAACACTAGGCCACCAGAGCCTACATTAGAGGTTCCTAAAAGAAACAGTATTATCTCCTAAAGGAGGGAACATTTTAGAAATTTGCAGAGGAGAGTTTAGTTGTTAAAAAGATGGAAGGACATTATTAGAACCTACTGTTCACAGATGAGAGATACTACACATCCTACAATATCTAGGACTCTGCACAAAGTCTTATCTGACAACTCTGAACCTGAATCTCCACACAGTTAATTCAGTACAGTGAAAAAGCAGCTAACTCTGTTTGGAAAAGTAAATACAATCAGCATGGTGATTTTTTTACTTAAGTGAGGGTATCTCTCTGATTCGTGTGTATGTTCTCTTAGTGAAGAATTACTCTAATTTATCTGTTTGTGTATGCTTACAATGTCTTCCACAGTGAGTATTTCATAAATCAGTACAGACTACATAGATTAACAAAAAGAGGTAAGCCTAACAGCACAAAATCCAATAGGTTTCTTTATAATTATTTCAGAAACACACTGCAGAACTGAAGGCTAACTATCTTATGCCATCAGCATAAGGTCAATTTTTGAGCTTTTGCCATCGATCTCTTCAGTCATTCTATTTCATTGCATGCTCCAGGGACTAATCTACCATTTACTGTATACTTATTCCCAAATTCAGGATTTATAATAAAATCTCCTAAACATAAAGACATGTATAATTCTATACCCGACTTTTTTTTTAACTCAAAACAATCCCAGGGATGGTGCTATTACAAAAATTATGGTAATGCTTTGTATCATTTTCAATAGCAACAATACAATTTTCATTATGTCAATGACAAAGAATAAAGATAATGGTATACAGACCCTCCAAGGAAATAATCTAAAAATGTAGCATTGGGGAGAAAAAAAGGCAGCATTGGGTTCACACCTATTACAGATACTGACTTTTCATGTAATCAAAATAACTCAAGTGAATGTTTCCTATTTTAGATGCTCTAAATAACTGTGATGTTACTGCATTTTAAAAACAAAGTTTCACTAGAAATGGAAAAGAGCTAGAGGTAGTTCTGAAAACAATGAGTTAACTACCAATATTTTATCTACGTATGAATGAGCTCCAAGCTCTGAGAATATCAATCTTTTTTTAAAAAAAGTTCCTGCCATGGATCATGATGCAAAAAACGACAGTGAACAGCTATCATCACAACTGAAAAGTATACTGAAGTACTGAAAGAAGTTGTCTCATAATAGTTTAGAAGACAGCTATGATGATGTATGAAGTAATTTTAAAACTGTAAGTAAAATCATGATGTTTAAAATCAAAATGCTTATTTTTGAAAATTGACAAGTTGTCCAGCATGTCACAGGAGTATCTCCACACAGAAAAAATGTAAATCCTGATAAGTAAAGAAACTAAAATGAAAAACAATCTTGAGAAATCATGTATCTTTTCACACTTATATAATTAAAATGGATTTATAATATTGTATGTAACTCCATAGGAGAAGCAGGCTAAGATTCCTCAGTGATGAAAGCACCAACTCAATGGGGAAAGAATAGAAGGAGATATAAAATAAATAATTTGCACTACTGGATTATATGAGTGTACTTTAAGGATTCTCCTCCAAACAAATAATTCAAGGAAAAACTAACATGAAGAAAGATATTAATGAAAGCATGCACTGATATATTTATATGAAATAGTCTTTCTGAAAAATGACAACAATGTTGTTTCGGTGATAAACAAATGTTTATTAAAAATAATTTTGACTGAAGAAAGAATACCAAGTATATTACATACAATTCAAGTGACCAGGCATTGGGATCACTGACCAGAACTGCCTGGAGTTATTCAAAATACTCTAGGAATTATGTAATTACAAGAATATGAAAATACACTGCCTAAAACATGGACACTAGCTACAATCATCCTAGAAATGCATGATCATTTTTATTGAAAGAAACCATACAAAATTTCAAGTTTTAATGCTTATATTTTAAAATATTCAACACTTTCTATTCTCACATTTGAATTCTGATAACCCTTCCTAGAATCGATGTTAGAGTAAAAAGAAAATACTTCTTTCCTCATATTTTACAGGAGGCAAGGAACAAATACAGGTTAAATAATTCATCCAAAATTATCTAAGTACTTGCTGGCATCATATATCAAGTTTTGCAGTGATTTTTTTCCTCACAAATCACTGAATATTTAAAAATAACATACGAATCAACATAGAGGACTATAAATGGGAGAAGTATAGAAAAAACAACCTACTAGTTTCTTATTGACACCATGTTTTAAAAATTTTTATAAAAAGGATTGCCTTCTCTATAGAGAAGGTAGTGCAACCAGGGTGCTCCTTAGAGGCAAGGATGGTGAAACTGATTCACACACTTTAGGCTTATTATCAGAAGGGGCCAGTCCTCACAAAAAGACATCATGCTGGAAAAGGGAGAAAGCAGCAAAGAAGATCCTCAACGAGATGGACTGATACAGGGACTGTAATAATAGGTTTGAGAACATGGGAGACTGTGATGATGGTACAGGATAGGACACAATTGTTATCTGTTGCTACAAGGTTGCTATGAGTCAAAGCTGACTTGGTGGCACTTAACAACAACATAAGGAAAGATGATGATAGAGTGAGGGAGACGTACTGGGGTCGGGGGCAATATCACAGCAGTAAGTATCACATGTAATCAACACCTGCCATTCTCAAGGCTGACGAATATATTATTTTTTTTTAAATATCATACTCTATATAATGGAAAAATAAAAGACAGTCCCAGCACCGCTTACCTGTACAGAGAAGTCCATCTTTGTAGTAAAGTGCATACACTCTGGCACTGTGTCCAATTAATGATGAGGTCTCAAAGGCTTCATGGTCCTTGAGTTGCTTCATTCTCAAAATAGCCTTCAAATAAACCTTCTTCCAGTGCAAAGCGTCCTGAACAGAATCATCTATCTGCCAGCCCAAATTTTTACATGCAGTTTGCCACACCTCTGTACAGGCACTTATCCCCTTATTCCACTGTTTAGAGACGAGGCAGCATGTGAGTAAAGTCTGAGGATCGAGCCATTTTAACAAATAAAAACTGAGCTCCAGGGGAAGGAGTTTGAGGAAGTCCCGCTTGAGGAGAGTCTCCAGGTTATTGGAGAGATGCCTGAGCTGGACTGCCCCACTCAGACTAATCAGGTGATCCAGAGTTTCATTTTTCTGCAAGTCCGTCAGAGAAAGAAATGTAATAGAAATGTTATCAAGCCATGTCTCAAAGTCCTTTCTCTCCATAAGGTTATGGAAAAATTTACCTGTGACACATCAAAATATTGTATTAGTTCTATTCAAAAAGACTGTTCAAGCAAGACTGCTAATAAATGAAGTATTAAAATTTAGTGAAAAAAATCGTGGTACAATGACTTTAAACTTAGTTACAACATTACATTTTAGAGTCAACATTACTATGTATCTGAGTATTTTCCATGCACATAAAATACATCTGAGAAAACATATTTTCTTGATCTCTAAAACATAAACTAAGAAACTTAAGTTGATATGGGGGCTTGTTTCAAAGTCTAGGACATGCTACACGCATGAAAGGTTTACAAAGTATTAATTCATTATAAAACAGTGTATTCTATATCCAACTAATCTAGCCCTCTCATAAATACTATTATAGTTTCCTTAATGAATTTTTAAATGTGTGCCATTTAGCCACAAAAATCACAAAAAATTAACACCAAGACATAAACCAGAAATCAAGTCTCTAGAGTAGTAACTCGAGAAATACCAGATATCATACTAGACACTTGACCTGTCACCCAAATCACAGAAATGACACTTGCTAGGGAGGGGAAAAAAAGCAAGCATAATAAGGTACATGGCTTGAGTTTTTTGGATATGTTTTTATCATATTGCGTGTTAGAACAAGAGTTATCAAGGGTTTTATTTTGTATTACATATGCTGTTTATTTATGCTTCAAATAAGGTAGTGACAACTTTCTGCTCATGTGTCCCCAAGATACATGAGTCTACTCTAAGTCTGTAAAAATAAGGCAAATTAATAACCTTAATGCTTATGAAACACATACACAAACACACATCCAACCAACCATGCAAATACGATCGTGACTATCTCTACTTCAAAGATGAGGAAAATGCAATCAAAGGTAAAATGATTTGGAAGGAGCTCTGGTGGAGTAGTTCCTATTATGCTGCCCTGCTAACCAAAAGGTAAAATGCCTTGCCTACATTCACGGAGCTATTAAAATAGCAACAGAATAGACTAGAGGCCAGCACTCTCATAATCAGTACTCTTTCAAACACATCTTGCTGTCTCCCTCTTAAGTTAGCTACAACAAGCCTTGGGGCGATCAGGAGGATGGCCCAGAATTAGGCTTGTTCAGAGAGTTCATATGAGTTGTAGTCAACTCAAGAGCATATCAAAACAGGAGAGCCAGAACCTGGTAGTAAGGTCTGGGGCACTAAATTCTGATTATACCAGTCTCCCAATTAGGAGAATGACACATTACTTCAGGGTTTACGAGGAAAAAAAAAAAAAACAACCCACCAAAAACCTACCAGTTCTCAGCTTTATGCACTGTATAAACATGTAAATCTGGTCTTAACAACATGGAGTAAAATAATGTAAAGATGACACAAAAATAAGGCAAACCAATAAAAATTATCTTCTGACAATAAAAGCAGGAGGTGATCAGATACCGCAAGTAATCACACTAATAAATTACAATTAATATTATAAAGCAAAATCTGATGATTGACTGATTGAAAACCCAGTATAATTGGTAAATTTTACTCAGCTGAAATTTATGAAATTTTCCCAGGACTGGCTGTTGGTGGTAATGATGACTGATAAAGAAATGAGAATTTATTATTCCATTTCCATATGTTTAAAAATTATTAAAAAAAAATTCTTCTAATGTCAGACTGCCAAACTAATTACAGTCAAGTCTTAACAGAGAAGAGGAAAATTAATTTCTTTCCATACACCATCTAGATCAGGTGGAAAAAAAGCTAGATCTCATCTTTCAACCTTGTAAATAAATATAAGGCAAGTAAAATAATTTTCATTAATTCTGCAATAGCAAATTTGGCACAAATATCAGACAAAAATAGTTTAGTAGTAGTGTTCTCATAGTTTTGGTTTCTGGACAATAACTAGACATGAAGAGAATACTCTCAAAGCTGCAAGGTGTTGTACAGATAGAATTTATTAATGCATTTACAGGATTTATTAGGAAGCCTAAAAAGAACAAATTCACTGAAGATTCTATCATTGAACTGTAAAATAGCAAGCCCTTTATTTCCTCTAAATCCTCTCTTCATGGAAAGTTTTAACTTGTAACAGAATTCCTCTCCTATCTCCTTTACTTTCAGTCATCTATGAAGTCCAGACAAACCTAAATTCTAGTTTTGCACACAGTTAAGAATTCCAACTGCTGGCACCACTGGTAAACTAAAAATAAACACCAAAACACCTAATCTGAATGATTATTTAAGTGAAAAGTGGAAGAGACTTCCTCTATCACACCATTAAGAGCTAACCCACATCCACAGTAAATATGCTTGCATTTATGTAAATTGAACAATGATTTTCTTTTTTTTTTTTGACAATGATAGTCATTGACAGCAGAGCAAATTTAAATACTCTCAGGGTTACTGTGCTTCCTATCATTTACAAAATAATTAAAAGACATCCTCTAACAAGCCAAATTAATATGCCCCCTCTTCACGTCACTTGAAGCAGCTTTCCAATGAGCAACTTTAAAAGATTCAAGCCATTTCTGAAATTTGTGTATTTTCCTAATTCCTAACAGGAATGTCACTTCCAACTCTTACGTTAGAAACAGACCTTTAAGATGCTCAATGCCTTTTAGGTTATTTTGCAGCTCATAATCTCTAACTGCGGTGGGGAAAAAACCCCCATCTTTTGAAAATATAGTAAGAGCCTGTAAATTCTACAGAATGTGCCATTTAAAAAAAAAATTATTTCTCAAAGAATTAACTAACTTTGGAAGGGACAAAAAATAAGACTACAGTTCCCTACTTGACACTTACTATTATGTAAATTTCCCCTCACTTTGAAATTATTGCACCAATTCCTGTTTGAAACAAATCCCTTATTACCATTACCTCACTTGCTGTACACTGCAGCTTTTAAATAACAGAAACAATTTTTGAGCCTTTTCATACACTAATCCAAAACCAAATCAAACCTACAGCTGTAGAGTCGTGTCTAACTCAACAGCAGTCCTATAGAAAAGAGTGGAACTACTCTATAGTTTCCAAAGCTTTAAATCTTTTGAGAACATACTGCCTCATCTTTTTCTTTTGCAGTCACTGCAAAAAGAACTGCTGAATGCAAACCACTGCCCTGCTGGTTAGCAGTGGCATTTTTTAACTAGTACACCATCGGGGTTCTTTCTCTTACAGTAAAACAAACAGCCAACCCTTCCTGTCTGTATGATTCTGACTTCACTGGCTTTCAGAGGCTGTAAATCTTTATGTCTGTATGATTCTGACTTCACTGGCTTTCAGAGGCTGTAAATCTTTATGACTGGAGAATGCCTACCATCACTCTTCAGGAAGACTAGTAGAACTGGTGGAACTGAACCGCTAACCTTTCAATTAACAGTCCAACCTGTAACTACTCCAACAGAGTTCCTTTCTCTCTCACTAAAGCTAATCCATCTATTTATGACTTAGCTATAATTCTTAAAAGACACAGTATCAGGCCTGGCTGTACTGGAAGACAGCCAAAAACAGCTGTATTATAGACATAGTAGATTGACATTTTCACATTAGTCAAGTCTAACATAGATTCAGTCACTTCCTATGTGATCAAAGGCATGTTCACTTCTCAGTTTCAGAATTGGTAAAATAAAGTTATCATTCATTCATTTACTTATGGATTGTGAAAATAATAAATAAAACAGGTAGGACTACTCAGTGCCCAGTCTAAGAATACCTTAAACTGTACTTCTGAGCTTTTTCAAAGACAGTGATACTTAGGCAAATGGTATTGACTAGATAATTGCTAAAATTCCTTTCAACTCTATGATTTGATCACAAAGTTTCTCCTTGAAAATATCAAGAAGGAAAACTCACTGAATTAAAAATGTAAGGGCTCAGACATACTGGGAGTTTAATTTTATAATTAAGGGCAATTGACTTTGGGCTTTAATTTCCCATTTGATGCATTTTTCTTTCCATCCTATTCAATACTGGTGTCTTGTTCTCCTCACCATCCTCTTTACCTGAGACTAAACATTAAACCTGCACACCAGACCTCAATATTAACAATCATAAAATTCTGAGAAAATGAGTGGTGGGGCGCAAAGACTTCTAAACTAGGGGATGAGAAATACCTAGTTTTACCATTAACTTCCTATGTGTCTTTAAGCAATTCTCAGATTTGCATTGGCTTTAATTTTTAAACCTAATCGTACATAGGGTCGCTATGAGTCGCAAGCGACTCGACGGCACATAAAAACAAACAACAAATCTTCTTTAGTTGTCTTGAAGTCCATTTTATTTTCATGGTCACCTCAAGTGTTTCAGAGATAATCTGTGATCCAAAGAGTTTTTCAAAGGCTGTGACCTTTCAGAAGTGGATCACCTGGCCTTTCTCTCCAAGTGTCTCTAAGTAGATGTGAACCACAAACCTTCCAGTCAGAATGGAGTGCTTCACCATTTCTATCACTCAGAGCCTTAGTAAAGTCTAAAATACTAAACACAGGGGTTGCCTCATTCAATCTTCAAAATCCTGTTGAAGGTATTTATTACCAATGTTCTTAACTAATAAAGAAAGGTAAGGTCTTTGAAAAAGTGGAATTAATTTCTTCAAGTCCCTTAAGTGTTGGCAAACGCAACACATCATTCCCTCTCTCCCTCAAAACAATATAACTAATGTTAAACACAAGTTCTGTTGCTGGTTGACCTTGGGCAAATCACTTTTCCCAGTCTTCTCACTTGTACAGTGAAGCCAGACACAGCATTACCTACAGGGGGTTTTGGTTTTGTGGATTAAACAGGATAGTGCATGTTAACCATTAGCACAATACTCGGCACACTGTAAGGCTATATACTAAATAATTATCACTTAAGAGTAGTATAGTTATTTTTGCTTTATTACAAGCCGCACGCCACAAACACACTTATTTTTATTGGCACTCCCATAATTACGGTGTACTCCTGACATTAGAACAGCGCTTTCTACTTCAAAAATCACCTGCCCACACTCATCTTTCAAACTCCACAGCAGCCCTGGG